ATGGGACCAACTCATTCAACAGATATTCATCAAGTGCCCACTTTGGACTAGACAGGTGTGACTGTTTTTTGCAATATATAATAGAAAGTGAAATATAATGTAATACTCAACCAAACTTAGCCATAATCATTTCAGTAAGTAAGTGGTTCATGTTCCTGGACTGTAGCCCACCTCTTAAAGTAGGATTTGTGTAAGTAAAATGTGAAACGAAAAAAGGCCAACAAAGAAGCAACATACAATTAAAACAGAAATAGGTTGGTATTGTCAGAGGTTAAAGAGATTGTGGGGTGGATTAAATGGGTAAAGGGGTCAATGATATGGTGATGGATAGAAACTTGCCTGTCGGTGGAGATCACAGTGTAATACGTACATTGCAGCATCACTGTATATAAAGTCAAATTATAATGCTGTCCACCTGAAACTTACAATACTAGAAAGCAGTGTGACTATACTAAAAGATTATTTAAAAAATAAAATTTAAATAGGGTCTGAGAATCTTCAAGGTTGTCAAATTCCTTGAGCTTCCCAGCTCCTATGAGTGGGCATTTACATTAAAAAAAAAAGAAGAAGAAGAAGAAGAAGAGAAAGGAGAGAGAGGAAAGGAGAATTCAGGGTTTGGAAAGTGATGACATTTTCTGTGGATTTTAGCCTCCCGAAGTTTCAGTTCTTTGCCACTGATGTCTCTACAAGTTAGAATTGGAGTGGCAGATGCCTTAACATCTGCAGAAGATATTGCGCAAAATTTAATGTTTAACAATGCGAAAAAAAAAAAAAGCAATGAAATCTAGGCTGTTAAAGACTCAACACTCAAGCCAAGATCCAGTCATGGAGCAGCAAGTTCTGAAAGCCCAAGGGTTGCCTGTCCAGGACCTGACAATTGGCACTGGCTGGAGTGTGGAACTCACACTGACACTGTGTTCTCCTTATCTGTGGGGTTAGGTCACACCTGAAAGTCCCTGGAAGGAGATCAATGATGTATCTAGGGGCAATAAAAATCATAGTAGATTTAGAAAAAAGGGAAGCAGAAGATTGGACTTCATTGATAGGCAAGCAAAGATGCTAGTTAAAGAAAATAACAGATGATTCTGATGAGGACTGATACAGCAGCATTTAGGAGATGCTTGGTTCCCACTTAGCTTTTCAAACCACTCTTAGCATCACTAAAATAAAATCACTAGTGTGTGTCTAATTCAGGCTTTCACTATTTCTCCAATGGGAAAAATCTGTCTGTCCTCATGCATACTTCTAGTTGTGAAGGGATTCCCAAGGCATCACTGGAATCTGTCAGCATGTTAGACACTGTGATGGTCACTGAGATCCTGGGCTACTGGTGACCTCAGGCAGGGCTCCAGGCCAGTGGACCCACACACTGTGGACTTCTTGTGCTCTTCTGATGCTCCCTTCCCCTCATCACATGCCTTTGCAGTCTCTGAGGGGCTGTGCACTTCTGACTGCCCTTGCTTTCCTAGATTCTGGACCCCACAATGACCCTTAGGGTTTAGATCTATTGGAGTTTTGGTTGAATAATCCACTTTCAGGTATTACAGTCTTTTAAAAAGTGTCCTAAGAAATGAATGAAACGAGCAGTCTCATTTTCTGCTATGCCAAAACAAGGGGGAAATTGCCTCAAAATTCCACCTTTTGATGGAAAACACTGCGGGAAACTGGATCAATCATGTTTTAATCTGAGTAGACTCTCTTTATTTTTTACCTGATAGTCTGAGAACAGTGTTTCTCAGAGCACAGATGTGACTAGAGAGAGAGAGAGAGAGAAAGGATTCCGTGATCAAATAAGTCTGGGAAATTCTGGATTAAATAAAATTGGAGAGCTTTCTTTCTTACGTGATTTTTTTTTGATCCTTTGATCTGCTAATTGCACCAAGACTCTCCAAGATCGAGTTATAATATGCAACACTTTCCCAAAATTTTTTTATCAAAATGATCTTTGTTTTAAGACTTTCCTCATGAGACTAATGTTCCAAAAGTTACTCTGGGAAATGCTAGTCTAGACTTATAACCCTTGGATTCAGTTTCTCCCAAGGAGAAAGCAAAATCATAGCAAAGGAGTGAGGGACAAGGAAGAAATGGAAAAATAATCTAATTCTGTAAGTACCTGGCACTACTTAAATTGCACTTCTTAAGGAAAAATGAGTTTCTGTGGAAAAGCATTAAAATGACTGATTTAGACTATTTCTTCATTGTCATGTGTTCTGATCTCTGAACAAAGCTCAAGAGGCAGTGTCACTATTCTACAGCCCCCCCTTCCAGAAGGCATGGTTGTCATCCCTCGGGGTCATAGGAGTGTGACTGCAAGAAGATTCATGACAAAGGAATCAGGAATCCCAGGAAGAGAGACACCTGCTCCCTTTACAACAATTCAGTTAACAGGGATTCAGAATGTACATTTATTTTCCTAAACCATAGTGCTATTCCATACTAGTGCTATACATGCTTATATGATTCTGTATTCAGTTTGCAATCAATTGAGAAAGTCTTCCCAGTCCTTTAATGAATGACAATTATACTGGTGATTTAGATTTAGATCATACATTTTATGAGTGGTTGGTGATTTTAAGCCTCAGGTATTATACAGGGAAAGGTATCATTATCTTAAACCCGTGACACCTCGCCATGGAAGGTCCCAGTCCTAGCCTGTTGCCACCACCATCACAGAAGTCAACTCAGGCACACCAAGGTTCTTCACGTAACTCTTCTCCTACTCTAATTGAGAAGGTACAGCTACGGATCCTTACACCCTTGCAGACTCCAATTTAAAACCACAAAATTATCCTCTGGTCAAGGGTATTTCATTTTTATAGTGAGCCATACCCCAGAGTAAGCTCCTAAGTCATGAGGCCCTAATTAAATTGTAACTATCTTTTATCTGCTTCTTCTGATTGATATGTTCAATCCAACAAAAAATTGAAGGAGACATCAGATGACCTGGGTTTTGTCCTAGGACTAGATTTCAAATTCCTTGAAGGCAAGGATGCTGCTTTGTCCACCATGCTTTCCACTGTAGTGGTTATATGGAATTCAAGTATTTGTTGGTGAATAAGTAACCAGCAGAGGATCCCAGGTGTGTCAGGTCCTGATGATATGGGTTAACATCCTCAAGGAATTCTAGCTCTTCTGGGGAGAGCACTAAGATTTCGGTACTATGGAAAACTCTAGTTTTAAGGGACAGATATAAGAGGTCAACTGAATAGGCAAGACCTCTCCTTTTCTCTGCAAAAGTAGCACGAGGCCAGGCTTCATAAGAACTATCATTCACAAGGCAGATAAATTTGATTCTGGTGGCCTGTCTCTGACAGGTCATATTTTCATGATGAAATAAACCAACTTGTAACCTCAGCAGTTCTTTCTATGACCCACTCTCTCAATTTGGTTCCAAATTATTTTTTCTGTCCTACTTCTTTGTTCCTGTCTCTCTGGGGGGAAGTCCAAGGTAGCCCAGTACTAGTAAAACATCATCATACTCTTCCTTATGGGAGAAAATCAAGGAACAACGGGTAGGAACCAAGAAAGAAAGCAAAGTGATTTAGTTAGCAGGGTGCCAGGTATGCTAGGGAGGTGAGTATGGATGGTGGTACTGATGGCGAGGGATGAGAATTGAATAAATCAAATCAAATTAACCCCCAAAGCATGCACATACAATATAGGAACATAAAAATAATGTTTCCCTTCACGTGGCCAATTTCCAAATTGAGAATCATTTTTTAAGTGCTAGTAACGTGAACTAGTGTCTATTTGCACTTGACTTTGGAAGTTGAGATGTATTCCTGTGTGAGCACCTTCTGTAGTGTGGGGCAAATGGCTCCCTGCACAAGGATGAGGTCAAGCTGGACTAGGGACAGGAGACCTCAGAGATGGAAGTACTTCACTGCAAAGCTTTTTTTTTTTTGAGGGGGGGGTGCATACATGTTATGTACTAAATAAATGGCGCCCCCTGGAGTTGTGAACCTGGTACAACATTGAAGGCTTAGAATCTTAACTTCTTTGGAATACTAAAGATATAAGGAGAAAAGGAAACAAAAGCACTGGAAAAAAAAATTTAGGAGCATAATCAGTACACCCTCTTCCAATAAACAAACTCCTCTTCACACAGATAATTATCCCAATACGACCCCCACCATCACATATCCAGATAAATCTATCAGAGGCATTCACACTTACTCAGATGATTCTAGTCCATTACCTAATTAATGCCCCATCTCTATTGAAATTTATTTATGTTATATTAGGACCACATATACACACATATACACATACAAGCTCATAGCACAATAAAGGAAGAGATGCTGCTAATAATAACTCTATTAGTCTACTAGTTTGTATTCAATAATTTTCATGAAATTTACCTTTAAGATGTTTAATAAGAAACATTGTATACAGTACTTGCATTCGGTGTGAATGCAAACACCAGTAAAAACTGCAGGAAGTTTTTGTTTTTGTCAATCTGCCTTTCCACTTGCTTTACTTAGTCAAGGAAGAAGGTAGGGTCCAAATCAAATAAACCAGACCCCTTGACTTCACTGGCTAAAACACAAGCAAAACTGATTTCTCTTTGTGTTGTTTTACCCTACTGTTAATTTGCATCACTAAGGAATTTTCTAGGAAAGTACTCAGCAAAATCAAGGCTTCTCTGGTTGCCAAGCTCATGGAAACAAAGTTCTTTCTCTTAAAACTCTGAAAGAGACATTCCAAAGTAACCCACCATTAGATACAGAGCCAGCAACAGACTACATATCTATGAAAGAAGAAAGGAGGGGAAGAAAGAAAATGCATAACATAAACAAGAACAGACAAAACCTTAAAGAGGAAGGAGAAAGGAAAACATTTAGATTCCTTGAGTGATGGAAATAAATACCAAAGCTATTAGTTTCAGTTCAAAGAATGTATCACTTTATGCTGTTTATTATTTCTTGAGGATTATTTATTTTATCTTAAAATATCCAAGGGGTAAAGGGGTCCTAGAGGTAAGCAGCAATGAAACTGACCTGGTCAGGAGAGGGCCTGTGATTGGAATGTTGCGACCTCCCAGGAGATCGGTGGTGGTGGTGGTGGTGGTGGTGGTGGTAATGGTGGTGATCCTCATCGTAGTTGTCTGCCATCAGCTTCATTCTGTTCTGGGTCTGCACAGAACAAAAACCAGGGAAGATCCCATCAGGAGCTAGAAGAGCAGCCAAAGAGACTCAAAGCATAATTATAGCACCTACAGGGCTTTCTTTGTTCCTAATCCAGAAGTTTTCATTTTTGGTCAAACTGAAACTTAATGAAGAAATCAGCCTTCCATTAGCTTTGATGAGAGACTTCATCATATCCTTGAAGCTATGGTGTTCTTAGGTGTACATCTGTAGATGTAACTGTATTTCCCTTCTATAACTTAAAAGGAAAAAAAAAAAAAGATGGGCATAACCTCAGGTGCTTTTCCCCGTTATCAAGCGGTCACAGAATCCAGAATAAGCTTCAGTCACAAAGTACCAACAGTCGGCATCTGAGCCACCGGAGCAAGAGAAGGAGCCCTGGAGGGTGAATGGGACAGGATGGGTGGAGACACCTAACTGCAAATAGTGTCTCACAACAAGAGACAGAAAATGACTCAACAGTCTCCAGATACGAAAACAACAACGAAGATGATTTGTTGCTGGGATTACTTTGAGAGAGAGGGCTCTTTGTGGGCATTTAAGCTGATATTGTTCTTTGGGGAGAAATCAAAGAAAGAAGCGAAGCTGGCAAAGTAAAGCTGCCTATGTTTGTCACATGAGACAATCAGGTGTCACAGTATGCTTTATGATAATTATGAGGGGAAAAACCAGAGCAGAGGGGAGTTGGCTACCAGGGTCACAGAGTCTAAAAAATAAACAATCTATGGGCCCTCCCTGGTGGTGCAACGGGTTAGAGCACAGCACTGCAAGCTGGCTGCAGCTGCTTTGGTGCAAGTTCGATCCCCACCTGCCCCCAAGGTGACCCACATGGCGTGGCAGACCTCTCCTGACCCGTCCGCTGCTCCCCTCAGCAGTGTATTTCATCTATCTGCCTGTTCTGCTCCCCACTCTGTTTCTGGTGAAGCCTCTCACTGCCCCTGCACCTCTGACCTGTACCCCAGTTCTGTATGCAGAAATAAATCTTTAAAAAAAAAATCTAAAGACCACGGAAGAAGGTTTAAAAAAAAACAAAAATACAGAAAACAACACCAACAAAACATGTACAGCCCAGAAGTGCAGGAAATGTAAAGACTACAAGTGTGGGTTTGGAGATGAGGTCGTCAAATCCTGCTTTATGTCTTTGCTGGGCAGTGGCCTTTTCAGAGTTAACTATTTCTAAGCCACCGTTTTCTCATCTCTAAAATGACCCATCTTAGGGTCACTAGAGGGGCAAGTAATAGGATGGGCTTCAAGTGTCAGTGCAGGAGCTGGTACATGATGAGCTCACAGCAATAGTCAAATGATGTTATTACTATTACTGTTGTTATTTACTATAAGAAACCTCTTAATTCATGCTGCTTTCTTGGCCCATGATACCTCTTCTAGGTCCCTTCCCTTCCCTTTAGCTTCTCTACCTGGCTAACTCACGCTTTCTTCCTCCAGGAGACTTTCCCCGATACCATCCTTGAGGCCAGGTGGTGTGTGCCTCCTATTGACCATGGCTCAGAAGCAAAGGTTTATCTGCCTGCCTGGCACTGGCCTCTCCAGTGTGCCTAGCACAGGGCCTAGGAGATGCAAGACACTATGCATGTTCCTGCAGTGAGTGACTGAAAGAAAGGGGGCCATGCTTTTGAGGATGCTGCCATCCCAGAGGCCAACTCCATGTTTGCTTTCATCCAGAGAAGGTCACTGAGAGTTGAGGATGTCTCGGCAGTTGCCATAATAATCCCACTGGGCCTGAAGATGACACTGAGACATCAGCACTTGAGAGCTAGACCCTGGTTGTCAGAGCTTCCAACCACTGGAATTTTATTATGTGACATAAAGAAGTTCTGATTACACACGAGACTCTGGGCCTAAGATGGTCTATTTTTGTACTCTGCTTCACATACAACCCACCTGATCTTCAAAACCTTCCTGGAAGGAAGGTTTCTGCTCTCATTTCTAGTTAGAAATTAAGACATAGGTTTTGGCCCTCAGAGACTTTTTTCCTGACAGAGAACAAGGAGATTTTTTGGATTTTCTAATTCTCAATCTCCAGAGTTTTCCCTTTGCCATGCGGTAAAAAGAGACGGAAAATAGCTAAACAGGTAGAAATAGCTTTCCCATAAATAACTTTGGTTTTGTTAAGTTTTGGAAACACCTTACACCCTAATTCTGCCTGCTAGAGGATGTTTCCTGATTTACCCCCTCTGTTTTTTAAAATGTGTCCAATATTTGGAAGGTCCCAGGGTGGTTGTAAAAAAAAAAAAAAAAAAGCATGTATATAAATAAAAGCAATAAAAAGAGAGGGAAAGATCCACCTAAAAATTAAATAAAAAATCTCAGAAAACCTTTGGCAGCTGATAGCATTTCCATCTCTCACTAGTTCACTTAAAGTGTCAAAGGCCCAATGGACGAGTCATCTTGTGAGAAAGAGCAGGTCCTCGATGCTGCTGCCAACCAAGTACTGAGATTCTCCTTATTAAGTCGCCCTTGTGCACGATATTCTGAATTTCAGCATTCACACCTAAAATTCCAGTATTGTCAGGAGCCTGTACTTTTGAACTCATGAACTAATAAATCTGGAATTGTTTCTTCTAATAGAATTCTGAGAGCCTGAAGGGAGCTGTAAGATCTGCTGTGGTCAAGAAGGAAGGGACTTGCCCAAGAATGAACGATGGAGACTAAATGAACAAATAATAACTCTGCTATTGTAAACATCATAATGTCCTTATCCTCTGGGGAAGCTCCTGTGATTTTATGAGATTATTTTCTTACCAGCGACAAGCCTAAAGTTCCCTACCTTTGAACTGTATCCCATAAAAGAATGTACAAGCTAAACAAGATGCTATATGCAGTCCTAAATGTGTCTGCTGAAATGAGGTGTTGGAGAGTAGGCATGTCATGGGATAAAGACTGTAAATGAATGATGTCATCTTTCCAATTTGGTGCTGAAATATAAATAAACCACGTTGTTCATGTGAATACCAGATCTGGGGGAAATGTACACAGAGCAATTGTGAGCGGAAGAGGCTTCTTTTGATTAGTCTGGGCTGAAAGAGAAGAGTGTGAAGTGGAGATGAAAAAGAGAGTTTGGCCTGATACTCTAGACCATTTTTATTTATCTTGCTTGTAATGTATCCCCTAAATTGTGACCGATTTCTCACAGACTGGTTACTTGTTTTTTCTTCTATGAAGCGTTTGACCAATACAGCTCATTTAATTGTCTAATTAAAAATGTCAAATTAAAAATATATATATTTTTTAATTTGACATTAATTTGACATTACCTAACCTCATCCGACCTGGTTATAGTTTCCTAACCCACCAGGAATGGTCTGGAAGGATAGGATAAGCTATGAATAACACTCCCTGAAGGTCCATGGAAAAAAAACTGCAGAAAATTGCAATAAGGATTGGAACAAGGATACTATTTGTTCAAATAACCCCAGACACATTTACCAGTTGATTCCATGTGTAATGGTTCATATCCCCACAGCCATCAGATACACGAGGTACCCACCACAAAGCCTTAAACAACAAATCTGCACCGTAGTAACTGAAATCCCAGGAAAACTAATATAGAGTTGGACAGGGATAGCTTTCCAAGGCACTGCACTTGGGACCTCATGGACTCATTTAGCAATTCACTGAAGCCCATTTTATTTCCTTTTCAGTGTCTACCAAACTGCTGACCTGACACTTTCGCCTTTTGCTGGGTTATATTCCTTTTAGTATATTATGTCATGGCTGCTGAGACAAATCTAATCAGATTCCATTTTCTGCTTCCTCTTTCTTCCAGGCACCACCTTATTTCTCCTGGGCAATAGTCTCCTAAGAGCTCTCCTGCTGGATTGTTGCCTCCTACTCAACCTAATCCACAGCCAGATTGATAGGCGATCCCTGGTGCTCACTGACTTCAAGTTCCTCAGAGGCACTCCACCCTCAAGAAAACAGCCCCAGCTCCTTCTCTGAAGCTTGCCAGGCTCTTGCAAGGTAACTGATGTTCACCAGACAGTCTCACCTCTCAGCACCTCCATCCTGGTTCTCTGTTTCTGTCATGCCCTTCCCCTCAACACCCTAACCTGAGCTACGCACATTCTGTTCTTGTGCTCTTAGCTTCAACACCAGTCACCTCCTGAAATGCTTCCCCAGAGACAGGCTCAGAAGGAATTAAATGCTCTTTCACTGCCTACCCCAGAATCCTGTACCTTCTCTGAATCCCCCTCACATTAACGGCACCTGCCTCAATAAGTGCAAATTATCTTGTACCTTCTTGCCTTTCTCTACCACCATGTTGAAATTCTCAAAGAAAGAACTATGTCTGAATGACCCTTGTATTCAAAACTTGGCCTGACACTTCTCTTGAGGGACGGGTCCAGTCTGGTGTATAGGTAGTCAGTAAATGTGTGTCAAATAAATGTGTGAATTCATAAATGAGAAATTTTGAAACAGATGAAAGGAAAAAATATGCAATTAACATGTGTGATGAGCCAGTTAAGTCTGTACCTTTTTCTGTAAAAGTTTTTGGCCTTGTAGTTGGGAGCAGGAAAACAGGATTGATGTACACTTTGTAGCTATTAGAAAAGTGAAACTGGTCTTTAAAATTTTTTTCATTCTTTAGTAAAATATACCCAGTGAAATACTTTCTGCCTCCAGTTACTGACCTCATTAAGAATAAAGGGTATAAGGGTGTCGTGGGGTTCATTTCCTTACTACCCTCTAACCTTTGGAGGAGCAGGGACCTTTATAACACATTGTTAGCATCAAAAGTCAACTGTGGAAAACTGAAACTTTTATCCATTAACTAAAATTTCTGATGAACACCATCTGTGAAATGGTGCCATATATTCCTTCTCTCTTGACATTTCTGAAGAGTTTATCCATGGAGCTCTTGAAACAAAATGAAAATCCTTGATTGACTAGTAATAGACTCAATAGCTTAATGGCAATATGTAGCTATAAAAGTGTAATATTAAAACTGCCTTTAAAAATATTTTAGCAAG